TGATCAGTTGGTTATGATGTCTATAATCAACATTTGAATTATTCGAGGGCCTATGTCATGGAGTTTCAGAAGTTTGGGTAAGGATGTGATTTTGGGTCAAGTTCTTCGTATTAGGTAGTGGTTTTAAGAGATTCAACACTGGGAGTTTCTATGGGTCAGCAGTGTATCGTCGGAGATCCGTCCAATTTTTTCCCCAATTTGGATACCCTTGATTTGATAATTACGGGGGATGTTCTTTTAGCAGTTTGAGGTCCAACAGTCGTTTTGAAGTTCACATGAATGGATTAAGTAAAATTCCATGTGTCTATCCTAAGTGGGGAATTGAGATATTTGTTATGTCGCATGTGTTAGAGATGGTTGGTTGGTTGTGGGCCAAGGATCGCGATGAGAGTCTCCTTGCATGTTCTTGTTTACAAAAGGCTTGGAAATTTAAAGCATGGTCCGAACACCTTGCGGAATCTTATCTAATATTTATAGGGTCCAAAATGTGTACATGCTTGAATGGTTCCTTTATCTATGTAGTTGGTGGATATCAGAATGTGTGAAATTAAGTTTGGGTTGTCGCATCAACCTGGATGGTAGTTGGGTCGATTCGACCAGGGTTTACTGTGCATTATTTTGAATGATTCTGAAAACTTCCTCTAGGATTGGGAGTTTGATTCGATAGTCAAATGTCAAAGTTCTATTTGGACATTCTCTAGGATTTGGTTCCTTGTTACACATGGATGTAGTGAAAGTATATGATAGAGAAATAGTTCATTCTTCGAATAAATTTAGCAGGGAAGGAGATGAAGATGAACTAAGGAAGTTATTATGTTATCATCATGAATTATATTCGGTGATAATGGTGGTTGCACCTGTACTCGAGGTGGAATTGGTGTAGAAGACTATGGTCAGACTTTAAAAGTTGTAGGGAGAAGTATGGATGGATGGTAGCATATGTATGAAGGGACGTAGTTGGTCCTTGGATTGTAACTAGATGATAGGATGTATTGGATAGTTGAAAGGTGTCGAGAGAAATGTTGACTAATTGGAAAGTTATGGTTGTATGTCAGAAGTTCCCGTTGGGTTTCTCTAATTGTGGACCCCTATTTGTTTATGAAAGTTGGTATTATGAGTTTTGCTTACCAGTAATGTAGTATTGGATCTGGAAAATTTTTGAACCATGAAATTCATAGTACTGAACCCTTGGATGATCTATCAGTGGTCGTACACTTGAGCTAGAATGGGAATTTAGATACGATGTAACATCCCAATTTTCAAGGCCAAAAATTTCGTTTTTAATTATGTAATTTATAAAATCATTTACCAAAAACATTGTCGATATAAAATCATAATAAACATGTCTCAAAATCATATCTTCAAATAGTAATAAAATCAGAGTACAATCCCATGAATCTCAAAGTGCGGAATCCGGTGTGTATGTGTGATGCGCTGCTACCGAGCCGACTCCTTCCCCTTCGACGAAGAGGTACCTGAAACACAACTGAAAACTGTAAGCACAAAGCTTAGTGAGTTCCCCCATCATACCAAATACCATACAATAATATATCTAGCCAATCATATCTGGGTGCCGGCCTCCCCCTTCGGTCTATTTCAACCGGATAGTTGCCTAGCATATCTGGGTGCTGGCCTCACCTTCGGTCTATTTCAACCGGATACCGGGGACTATTTCACCCCTACCACTACCACATAAAATCATAACATACTGGCACATAGACCATAACAGATAGTGGCATACCAAATAATTATCATACAGACAATCATCTAACTACGAAATCCTACTAGTGGGTCGGCATTGTGGCCTTAGACCCACTTCTACTGGAAGGTAACTCACCTCGATGTCGTGCAGTGTCTGATCTGTCCTCGGTACGGGAATCAACTCGTCTCAACTCCTGAATTCCTACACAGCAATCTTTCTTGATTACTATCTCATGTTCATAACCCCCTTACAAAGGTCAATTCAAGTCCAAGTCAAAGTCAAGGTCAAACCCTAGTCAAAGTTAACTTTGGTCAAAGTCAACATCTGGTTGACTCGACTCGCCGAGTTGGTCCACCAACTCGCCGAGTCCCCATGTCCACCTACTGCCAGAATCCTGTCCTTACTCGTCGAGTCTAGCAAGAGCTCGACAAGTTCGCCTTCAACAACACATCTGACTATCTTCAACCGACTCGCCGAGTTCGTACTTGAACTCGTCGAGTTCATCTTCATCCATATAAGGATGTTCAGTCTATAACTCGCCGAGTTCTTCCTTGAACTCGTCGAGTCCGTCTTCATGTGGTTGGGACATTGCCTTGAACTCGCCGAGTCTGTTCACCTACTCGCCGAGTCCTATGATTTCCAGGTCCAATATCAAACCCCTAGCAGGCTGAGTGTTCCTTCCACTCAACCAAAACCGTTTCCAGAAGATGTTTGGGGGAAAATGCGTCCCGACTCGCCGAGTCACCCAAGCGACTCGCCGAGTCCCTCCTAGTCCAAAACCATTCAATCGATTATAATGGGTCTTAATGCACCCAAATCATAGATATGGCCTCCTAGGGTCCCTTTTACACGAAAAGTTCCAATCTTGACGTACATGCATGGGGTTTTTGGCTCAAAAAGCCATAAAAGAGGTATACATGACGCATGGGTCTCCCATGGCCATAAAGTTGGCACCTTTATGCCATGGGAACCCTCAATGGTTCCATATCTGAAGCACAAATCCACCTCCACCGACAAATCGGAATATAACTCCACTAAAGCTTAGAAAAAGTAGAAAATAACCCCAAATCAAGATCTAAGTAGTGAATAGACAAGGTATCGGCTTTATACCTCAAATAAGCTGGAAATGAGTCACAACCTCTGGATCTACTAGCTTCCACTTGAACTTCCAAGCTTCCTTCTTCTTCTCCAACTTCAAATTCACACAAAAAGGCACCAACAAGCTCAAGAACACTCAAAAGGGGCTTCGGGGTTTCGAGTTAGGGTTTCTCTGGGTTGGGAGGGACGATGGGGGTTGGGTTGAGGCAGAATAAGACGTTTAAATAGGGTGCAAACCCTAACATTAGGGTTTCATCCAGACAGTCCTACTCGTCGAGTCGGTCCCCCGACTCGTCGAGTAGTTCACTAAACCTCCGGGTCCAAAATCGAGTCTACTCGACGAGTTGGGCCTCCAACTCGCCGAGTCCCAGGGAAAAACATGAAAAATACTTGAATTTAAATACGTACCAGGAACCGGGTGTTACATACGAATTGATGATATGATTCGTTTATTGGTATGCTACAGGTGGGAACAACAGGATGATGATGACTTGTCAGGAAGTCAAGTGAGCATCAAAAGCCCCTTTGGGCATGGTTTCTAGATTAGGGATTGGTTGATGTGTATATTTAGAAGCTAAGTACACCGAGAAGGTTTTAGACAAGTTCAACATGGAAGCTGTTAAGGCCAACAGTACACCTTTGGATAGTTAGTTGAGACTTTAAAATAAACAATCCCTAAAGACCAAAGAAGCCAAGGAACAAATGGCTAAAGTTCTCTATGCATCTATAGTTAGTAGCTTAATGTATGTTATGGTATGAACCAGATCAAGTATTACTCATGTCATATGAGTTGTGAGAAATGTAAAATTGAAGAAGAGATCATTGAGAGGGAGTAAAGTGGCTATATGATACTTGAGAGGAATGGCTGAGGTTGTCCTATGTTTCGGAAGAAAAAGGATGGTCTTAGAAGGGTTCGTCGATGCATGTTTGGGTGGATATGTGGATTCGTGTAAAAGCATAACACGTTATGTGTTCATGACCGAAGGTACGTCAATCGTTCGGATGTATAGGTTACAGAAGAGTGTTCATCTCTCAACCACAAAAGCAGAGTATATGGTTGAAGAACTTCCTATCATAACATAGAATGTAGTAGGATAATTGTGTACTACATTTTGAAAACCAGAGTGTAGTTTATCTGGCAAAGAATTTGGTGTTTCACAATAGAACGAAACACGTTAAGATGAGGTACCATTTCATTTGAGAGTCAATTAATGGTGGAACTCTGAATCTGAAGAAAATCCTTAGAATAGAGAATCCAACAAATATGTTCACTAATGTGGTTACCACTGAGAAGTTTTAGTTTTGTATGACTTCAACTGGCCTTTCTAAAGTTTAAGAAAAATACATGGTAGAGAGAGAGAGAGAGATTAAGGAATGTTGCAAGGTTTTGGATGGCAAAGAAAGACTAAGTTATTCAAGCCTTCAAGTGGGAGATTGTTAGGTGTGCATGTGTGAAGGCATGAATGTCAAAAGTGATAGTAACATTAATTTTTAGGTAAGTGGTTGAAGACATTTATTCTATATGAATGTGAACACATGAAAATAAGTGGTTGAATACATTTACTCATTCAACCTCTTAAGTTATTTTCAACCCTTTTGAGGGAACAAACTTTGAAATGACCTGTATTTTTAGTCCCTCTAACCTATATTAGCATGTTTCATGTGCCACTTAAGCATTTTTCATTTAAAAGTCAAAATAGTGAAAACTTAAAAGTCAAAATTATGACTATTTTGACTTTTCATATAATCCTTCGTCTAAATTTTGATACGTTTTGCCCTTATTCACGTACGCTTCTTACCTTCTTCTAGGTTTTGGTTTCCTCTAAAATTGATTAGAATCTGAAGGCAAATCTACTTAACTGTATTTCTTGATTTTAGGTACTAAGGTCCGATTTAGGGGATTAGGGTTCATTCTTTGCAATTACGCCACCAAAAACACGACCTGTCAGTGGGCCAAAGACATACCAGATGTATGTATTCCAAATCTGTTGCTCCACTCACTTGGGTGCTCTCTCCATCTAACAATACTTTGAATGGGTGTCTTGCTCTTGTCCATCGCTCCGCTTACTCTGGAAGCGAGGAGTGACCTTTGTCAGTAACAGGTTTGGACCTCTGTAACTTCACTGTGAAAATTGAACTTCAGCGGTGCTCCATGGAGTAATTGTGAACCACTGTACCAGCGTCCTGATTCCATCACTCCATGTGTTGCTTCCCGGTGTATGCTTTATACAGAATTGGGTATTCCGGCGATGTGCCATTGTTTCCGATATGGTTATCGGTGGAAGCTAAAGATTTATTGAATAAGTGTTTGCGAACAATTATTGAAGAAAGATGGACAGCAAACCAACTTCTTCAACACCCATTTGTTGATTCGATTTATGATTTCCAAAAGATTGAAATTTTTTCAAAGAATTCTCCGAGTAGCATCCTGGATCAAGGATTCTGGGACTGTTTTAAAGCGTTTGAGGCTTCACCACTGATGACCCGGTTGATAAACTTCTCTGGCGAGTCTCCGGTGGTTAGGATAAGACAGTTAGTTGAAGGAACTCCTTCACGTTTTCTCATTTAGGTTGAAGAAGATGAAGAACAACACTGAGTCTTTGGATTTTTTTTTTGACTTTTTAAAGTCAATGATAAGGAAAATGGGTCAATGTCTATGTGGCAGGGGTAACCGGGTTACCCCTTCATTTTGTCAAAAGTGACCAAATCGATCCGACAAAAAACAGTTTGTTCCCTTAAAAGGCACGAAAAAAACTTTAGGGACTGAACGGGTAAAATTGAAATAAATAGTGGGGCTGTTGCGTCATTTTCACTTTAATCTATATGTGTGAGTGAAGACATGAAAATAGGGAATGCTACATATGTGTAGCTTTGAAGACTTTTATGTGTGTGAACGATGCAACATAAGTGCAGTTTAGCCTTGTATGCTTTTAATTTTTTTGATGATAATAAAATTTCTCTCTCTCTCTCTCTCTCTCTCTCTCTCTCTCTCTCTCTCTCTCTCTCTCTCTCTCTCTCTCTCTCTCTCTCTCTCTCTCTCTCCGGTGGATGTTGGTCAAATTTGATCATGACCGAACCACGTTAAATATTATGTTCCGATTTTCTTTTTTGTTTGCAGTCTTTTCAGTAGTTTTATTCCGCGTATGTTATCGAAATCGTTTATCATTTTGTCATAAGTGCTTAACTTGTTTTGTTTTGTTGAATCCCAACATAAGAAAATATACATAATTATACCATTTTATAGTTTTTGTATTTTCAATATTTCACATCTCAATCACTCTTTTTTTTGTAATATCCACTATAACTCTAGAGTAACATTATTCTATTTTTAAGGTACGAGGGTAATTCTTTCTACAATCAATCAACAGCGCCAGGAAATGATGGCTTATGTGGCAATCACACATCATCAAGACAAAGTGTTTTTGAAACCACTGTGGATGGATTGATGTCTGATCTTTCTATCGCCACACCAAAAATAAATGGTTTCTTTGCTGCGGCCACAACACCCGTTATTGGCACCAATACAAGTACTGCATACGCTATCGCGCAGTGTGCCATTTCAATAACACGCGATGATTGCAGAAATTGCCTACAAGTGGCATATGCTAACACAAGAGTTTGCGCAGCTGATGTTACTGATGGGAGAAGTGTTGATTCTGGGTGTTTTATGAGGTACTCAGCCTCTCCGTTTTTCCCCAACAATGCAATTATTGATATCACGCCGTTTTTACGAGATGGTAAAACTTCTGAACTCCCTATGCTAATTTCTTATTATATTTATTAATCGCTACACTTAAAATATTATTCGACCCATTTTGAAAATAAGGAATTCAATACAAGTGTATCAACATGCTCTCTTATAATATTTCCATGTACAGGAGGGTCAAGCAACAAGGGAGCCATTATAGGAGGTGTTGTTGGTGTGATCATCTTGCTAATACTTATACTTTTGTGGTATCGTCGATCAAGGAAAAGAACATCACCAGGAAGTATGAATTGTCGATTTAATCATAAATAATTATATTGAAGTTGATCACCAATAGATTTTAAACTGATCAAGCGACTGAGCAAGGTGATTGTATAAATGTCTTATGTGTATTTATGAGACATTAGTATTTGTCTTCTTGAGGCTATCGACACTTGGTTGACAGGGTTGGTGTGTGATGTGGGTGATCATGTGGAATTATTCATCTGTTGTTTTTCCAGATATATATAGTTCTAATCATATTATATTATATTATATTATTTTATAATAATTATAACGATAAACTCTATCTGTATACATGTCGACCAGGTTATGCCATGGAAGCAGAGGATTTGAAAGGTGCAGTACATTACAATTATAACGATCTGCAGTTGGCTACCAATAATTTTGGGGAAGAGAATATTCTAGGGAAAGGAGGTTTTGGTGAAGTATTCAAGGTAATAAAATAGAATTTTTGTATCCAAATAATATTATTGATTTCTTGAGAAATTAAATATCCTCCTACATTTTCTTTTTATTATCATGTTATCCATATCAAATGGTGACAAGTAGATTAAATTATTGTTATTTTCATTAAATGCGATACATGTCAACATTTGATATGGTAGAAAGATGAGTGGAAATAAAATGTAGGAGAATATTTAAATGTTTGTTTTCCACGAAAGAAAAACATTTTCTCATGAATTACATTCATTAGATCTAAACTTTTTAGTCATTGAAGATTCATTGATAAGGAGAATAGTTTAGGGACACATATTTAAGATATACATGTTATTTATATTTATCAAGCAAGAAAGAATGTTTTTTTTTTTTTTTTTTTTCAAATATCACACCCATAGGACTGAAATTTTTGTTGCCCCTACTTGGCTGGTTATTGTGATATTCCTAAATTTTGTACTATAAGTCAATACCTATGGGTTAACCTATCAACTTAACTTTAGATATCGCAAGTCAACATTTCTCATTTTCTACAAACAAATTGGGGATATAATTTCCTTATTATTCACTAATTCAAACAAACTCTTGAATGGTTGAATTATAGGCAACCCTTGATGATAAGAATATTGTGGCAGTAAAGAAACTTCACGTACAACATGGTAGAGTAAAAGAAGAATTTGAGAATGAAGTTAAGCTTATAAGTGACATTCATCATCGAAATCTTCTACGTCTCCTTGGATGGTCAAGTGAAGGATCTGATCTATTTCTAGTCCTGGAATATATGCCAAATGGAAGCCTTGATCAATTCTTATGGGGTAAGTTGGTGTTGCAAAACTATTGATAATTATTCATATGAAATTCAATATTTAGAAACACTTGGTATGTTATTAATATCTCTTCATAATAAAGGTTCAAAAAGGGGTACTTTGGACTGGAATCAACGATATGAAATAATATTTGGGATAGCCAGGGGTCTTGCTCATCTACACAACGAATTTCATGTCAAAATCATTCATAGAGATATCAAATCAAACAACATTCTTCTTACTGATGATTTTAAACCAAAGATAGCAGATTTTGGGCTGGCAAGGTTTCTACCTGAGGATGAAACTCATGTTATCACCAAGTTTGCTGGGACATTGTAAGATTGATTTTTGATACAACTACGTTGTATTAAATCGATCCTCTGTTTGTGTATAATTAAGTTCTTTTATTTTTACTATGAAATACAATGTCAGGGGTTACACAGCGCCAGAATATGCACTACAAGGTGTTTTATCGGATAAAGTTGACACGTACAGCTTTGGAGTCGTGATTCTTGAAATCATTAGTGGCCGAAGGAGTACCGAAGTGACACCTGACAAATCAACCTCAAATCAACCTCTGACTACCTACTGGAACATGTGAGATACCATATTAATACATTTTCTCATTTTTAGTTGTTCTTTTTAGAGAACGACAAGATCGTTTATTCAGATTAATAAGAAACAAAAAAGTTATTGCATAGGAGGTGCAGTACATATGAGAAGAAAGAAAGATAAAATAAGATACATACAAACATGTGTCCTTCCTCAAAACATAGCATGAAGAAAGAATAAGAAAGCAAAACAGATATTCTAACATAGTATATATATATATATATATATATATATATATATATATATATATATATATATATATATATATATATATATATATATCTTCTAAAATAATTATATCTTTAAAAACAACAGACCTTATATATTTCACATATAAAGGTTACTCATATTTGAGTAGATTTTACATTCTTTGTAAAATAGTTACTGAACTCTTAATTTTTTTTATATGATTGGGTGAACAGGCATGGAAGTCATATGAGAAGAAAGTACATATGGAATTCATTGATGTGACATTGGACTTGAACCAACACCAACAAGAACATGTGATGAAGATCATTGAGATTGCTTTGTTGTGCACCCAATCGCCAGTTACGAAGAGACCAACGATGTCTGAGGTCGTTTTGATGCTTCAAGATGGCCAATCATTGGGGAAAAAAGAGCTAACCAGACCTACTTATGTGCACAATCATGAAAGGAGGATCCATATTGGCTCTTCAAAGAATTTCGTTGCTGCTAATACTATTTGCAAAGACCCAAAGCAAATATTAGAGGCAAATGAGAAGCTACGTAGTGAAAGAGCAGACGCCAAAGTAGATGTATTGGAGGAAGGGATGAATGTTGCAAAAATCTTATAACTTAGGGATTCAAGGTCGATGACGGTGAGGTTATTATGTGGTTTTTTTTTAAAAAAACTTAACATACTGGTCAGCCTATTATTACGTTTTGTCCGAATGAAACAGAAACCTCCATTTTCAGATCGCCCATTTTCCTTGCTTTCTCTACAAAGTGTCGTAAATGAGCATCTTTAAGCCATAATTATTTTTTAATTTAATTGAATTCAATGCTTTTGACATAAAATTAAGTGAATATATATATGTCACTAGTAGAAAAAGGGGTTTTAATGACAACGAATTGTGATGCACACTAATTTTGGCGGACGAAAAAAATCCGACGTAAACATTATGTCATGTTTCATGAAATCTTAGGATTTACGACAGACTTCTATCATAATATGTCATCTTTCGAAAGAAAATTATGACGTACAAACATATAAGTCATAATTTAAAGTCATAAATCAAAATTAAAAGAAATACACGGGCTACCCTTCTCCTATTTGTGTGTCATCTTGAAAAAAAACTCAGTCGTCTTTAATTTCCCAGCTTCTATCGATCCCCTCCCATTTTCCTGGTTCAAAACACCTTTTCTTACTACTTTATGGTGACCGCCACCTTTGATTGGATTGGACTATGTTTATGCAGCCAATGTGCTCAATGAGAAAGATAACACGACTTGGTTGGACAATCTACACGTTGTTAACAAAAGTGAAGTAGTTTCAGGGAGAAATTAACACAAGGCACCTTACATAAAGCCTGCGTATTACGTGATTAATGAAAAATAAGACCAAGATGTCTTAATAGGCTTACACGATGAAAAGGAAATAACAGAATAAGGAAACTCTCCATTAACATGATGTGCCTAATGTTAAGGAGGACTACCCACTACCTAAAAGACAAAGTCAAATGAACTTACTGGGAACATAAATAAAGTAAACATAACATATAAAACAAGATAGGTACATGAACAACATAGTCATGCACATGGGTTGGTGTTGTATTTTAATACTCCTTCTCAACACCAACATTCACCATTCCCACTGTCTCGTAGAAGTTGATCATTTTCATGCTTGGCAGGCCCTTAGTTAATGAATCTGCAACGTGATTTGAAGTTTATATATATATATATATATATATATATATATATATATATATATATATATATACTCCCTCCGCCCTATATTTATTGTCCACTTTTGACTTTTAAAGTTTTTATTCTTCAACTTTGACTTAAAATATTTTTGTTTTTGATATATAATACTTGATTCAAAATATATGAGTGGATTGTGTTTTAAGTGTCGTTTCATTGTTATAAGTTTAATCAAATAATATATAACACAAATAAAAATATATAAGGTCAAATTTGAAGAATAAAGACTTCAAAAGTTAAAAGCAAACAATAAATATTGGCTGAGGGAGTATATATATATATATATATATATATATATATGTATATATATATATATATATATTGAAGGTCTATGTCTCCATTCAAAACTTTCTCATAAATGAAGTGATAATGGACCTCCATGTGTTTGGTTCTTGCGTGAAACGTTGTGGATAGGGACACCATGGGCTGTCGTTTACTGCACCATGAAATTGAATTGGACCCAACATGGACACATATCTTGTTGTAGAACGTCATGTGTTTAAGTTACATGCATACTCAACATCACAGAAACCAACCAACTTGCTCATCGACTCCTTCTTAAACATAATTCCTTGGTCAGGTGTTGCTTTCACATACCTTAGGACTTGACGTATGGCAGAAAGATGCGATCTCCTAGGGTATTGCATGAACTGAATCAAAATCCCTACAATAAAGGCTATGTCAGGTCATGTCAAGGTGAGATAAATAAGGCTTCCCACAATCTTCATGTATATAGTCATGTCTTCTAACTCTCTGCTAGCATCAACACAAAGTTTTGAATTTGTGTCAATTTGTGTCATTGTTGGCTTACTGTCAATAATTACAAATCTAATCAAGAGATCCACAAAATATTTATGTTGGTGTATAACAATGTCTCCATTCTCTTCATACTTCACTTCTAGTCCCAGAAAATGCTTCAGATCACGAAGGTCTTTCATGTGGAACCAAGTACATAGATTCTTTCTCACTTGATCAACCACTTCATAAAATCACATGCGATTATAAAATTATCTACATAAACCAACACGACTGCAACCTTACCTTCTTCCGCTCTTACGAACAAACTCGCATAAGAAACTGTCATCATAAAACAATTGTTCTCTGAAAACTCAACAATTTTACTGAACCACGCTCTTGGGGATTGTTTTAATCCATACAATTCTTTCTTGAGTTTACATACGTAGTTTGGATGGTCTTTGCTATCGAACCCAATTGGCTGCTCCATGTGAATGACATGATCTGGATCTTTGTTATAGAAAAGCATTGCATACATCCATCTATCTAAGTTTTAATCCTTTACTGGCAACTAGGGCTAGAATGACACGTATAGTGGTAAGCTTTGTTGCTGGGCTGAAAGTATCCTCATAATCAAGTCCACATTTCTATGAGAATCCGCAAGCCACCAACCATGATTTATACCTCTCCATAGAGCCATATTCCTTTCGTTTTATCTTGTATAACCTTTTGCATGCTATGGGCTTCACTTCTTTTGGCTTAGGGACTAGCTCCCACATTTGGTTTCAGACTAGGGCTTCCATCACCTCCTCCATAGCAGCCATCCATTCTCTTTTTATACATGTCTGTTTAAAGGATTCATCCTCAATCTCGATAACCACCTAAAACTTGACGACTCATCTATCTCATCTTCAGCATTAGAATAATTGAACACTCATGTATTCAATGGATGTTGTTCCCATCTTTAAGAAACATCTTCTTCTACGACAGTACCTACATCATTAATATTTAAATTGACGGTAGATGACTCTAATCCTTCCTTGAGCACATTGGAATCAGGAAGTGTTTCCTGATTTGTTGACCACCATGATGATTTCTCGTCAAAAACTATGTTCCTTGAAACATAACACTTGCCAATGTTGGGATCACAACACCGCCTACCCTTCCTCTATGCATCATATCCGAAGAATATACACTGGATAACTTTCTTCTCCATCTTTTGTTGTAAGTGACTTGGTATGAACACATAACACACATAGTCGAACACTCGGAGATGGCTAACATTGGGTTTGGTACATAAAAGCTTCACAAATGGTGACACAAACCCCAAACATTGTTGTAGGATTCTATTGATAACATATGTTGTAATGTTCATACCTTATTCCAAGAAACGTCATGGGACATTTTTTTGTCATGGATCATGCTACCACATATTTTAGTTAGGTGCTTGTTCTTACGCTGTAAAACTCTGTTCTGTTGTGGCATGTTTGGACAAGTTAATTGTCTTCCAATTTTGTGCTCCCTTAAGTAATCAACAAATTCCTTTCCCAAGTACTCTCCACCATTGCCTGGTCTGAGTAGCAATACATGATGATTTCCATCTCTTTCTGCTTCAACTTTAAACTCTTTAAACTTACTAAAGATCCCTGATTTTTCCTTCATGAAGTATACCCATATAAACCTTGAGATGTCATCAATAAAGGTCACCATATACTTCATTCCTCTCAATGATGATTGTTTCACAGGTCCGAACACATCTGAATGTATTAACTCCGAAGGTGCCTTCGCTTGCTAAGTGGACTTTTCGAAGGGAAATTGGTGAGATTTCATATATTGACAACATGCACAAATAAGAACTTTACTCACTTCTAGTTCTGGAAGACCGTTGACAAGCATTATTTTCATCATAATATCGAGTTTTTAATAAGCTACATGACTCAAACACATATGCTAAAGATCCATGTTTTGATTCCTATTTGTTTTATCTACATACATTGTTTCATCAGAGATCACATATATAGACTCCGATCTTCTTCCTTTGGCAATTGGGTGAGATGGTGTTTCAAACTCCTTATACATTTTTACATCATTGAGACCAAAAAGCACATACTGGCATGCTGAGGTTAATTAGGACAAAAAGAGCAAGTTCTTTTTCATTCGGGGACATGATACACAACTTGTAACATCATCTATTTCTTGTTTTCTTTCGGGTGAAACTGTAAATCACCAACATTGGCAATTTCAAGTTTTGAGTTATCCGATATCACAACAACTCTACTTCCACCATATTAAAACGGATTTTGTATGATCTTTTTATCGCCTATTATATGATTAGAGCAGGCGGAATCAAATACCCATTCATCTAACTTATTCTTTGCTTGTTCAGTTGTAGCTGCAAGCGCCATGACATGTTCATCTTGGACAAAGTGTGCTTCAGCATCCCATGCTTCTTCTTCTTGAGTGGCCGTTGCATTTCCTTATTCAATGTGTTGTTGTGGACAATTTCTTGACATGTATCATCTTTGAACATTTGAAGGGAAATTTTTGTTAGAACGATAACTTTTTTGCTTTTCCGCTAATTGTTACCCATTCTCATTGTCATGATTTTTCCTCTCGTTCTGTTTGTGCTTATCAAAGTTTTTCTTTTGTCCCTAGTTTGAGTTAGGCTTGTACTTCCCTTTACATCTCTCCACATAAAGGGATTCATCTTCAGCCCTGACAGAGATGCTTCCCATCTATTTTACAAGAGCCTCCTGTCCTGCCAAGAGGTTCTCAAAATCTACTAAAGAAGGCTGGATAGACCAACCTTGTTGGAGCCACAAAGCTTCTAAACAGGGGCTTTAGGCCATGAATAATGGAATGTTTCATACGATTCTCACAAATTTGAGATTATAGATCATTCTCTGAACTCTCCCTGCAAGTTGACTTCACTTTATGGAAATATTGTGGGATAGACATATCACGTTAAGACGCGAAGAGCAACTGATTTTCGAGAAATTGCAACTTTGTGTCATTCTTTTTCAAGAATAGCGATAATAGAGCTTTCTAGGCTTCGGATGAAGTCACAGAATCCCGGATGTGTTCGATAACATCTTTGTAACATCCCAATTTCAGGTATTTTTATTATTGCTTTTAT